GAAACACAACTTGGGGTAAATCACATGTTGGTATTCTGTCATCCGCCGGCTCCTCGTGTGCTCCCTGACATGCAGACATCTCTCTGTTGTAGAAAGCCATTGATCTGGTGACCAAAGCCACAGAGGAGGACAAGAACAAGAACTATGAAGAGGCTCTGAGGTTATACCAGCATGCGGTGGAGTATTTCCTGCACGCCATCAAGTGTAAGTATGACGTTGCTGGGTGAGGACTGTACATATGGTGCCGGTATAGAGGGTGCAGGGACTGCGCAGAAATGTCAGGAGAGGATGGGAAGGGAATGCCGGACTACATCACGCCTTGGAGGGAAGAGTGATTGATCATTGGCAGAATTCCTGGTGAGAAGGGAGTCAGATCCATATCGGCCACATGTATACGTAGAGCACCAATCAGATTTACAAAGGGCTCATCCCTAAGGCTCCATCCATGATCTGGGACTGAGGAAGCATTGAGGGGGTACAGGGGGTACGAGACTTCATTACAATGGGGGTGAGAAGGCTATTGCATAGACAGGAAGTACATGGAATTGGGAAGAGTTCTTGTTTGTAAGTCTTCTGTTCTGCCATTAGATGAAGCTCACAGTGACAAGGCGAAGGAAAGTATCCGAGCCAAGTGCATGCAGTATCTGGATCGAGCGGAAAAGCTGAAGGATTACCTGAAGACAAAGGACAAGCAGGGCAAGAAACCTGTCAAGGAGTCACAAAATGAGAAGGGGTGAGGTATTCCTCTCTCTATACAGCATGGGGGATGAGGGGACCCTCTCATCACAGGTCACTTGTTCAGTTCCACTCTTTAGGCAGGAATGTCATTCAGATTTCTAAGTGCTTACTAGGCACGGCATCACACTGGAAGTATATCTGAAGAAATAATAAAGTACTTTTTTTTTTAAAATTAGAATAAATTGTTATACCTACCTGCTCTGTTCATTGATATTCGCTCTTACCTCCTGGAGTCCTCCACTGGTGACATCCACGCCTCCTATCCCCCAGGTACCCCCCTCAACAAGTGTGTGGCTGCTGAGGGGGAACCCATGTAGGCACACTCCTGATCTGGGCTGTGTGCTTCCATAGACACACACAGCATTGATAAGCCCCTGACATCACCTAACCAAAATGAAGCCAATCTTTGCCCTTCATAGGAAGAGTGAAAGGTTGGCTGATCAGCTGATAATACTCTCCTTCCATTACTAACTTTTGGGCTGTGGCTTATACAGAGCTAAGAGCACTTAGTCAGCCCATCAGTCAGACCTGGTGATTGGCCACTTGGGCACGCAGTGCTACCTTATCAGAGGCAAGGGAGGGAGTCATGGTTTCTCGTGACAATAGACAAACCTAGTGATTGGCCATTCGGGTATCCAGTGATACCTCATCAGAGGCAAGGGAGGGAGTCATGGTTCCTCGTGACAATAGACAAACCTAGTGATTGGCCATTCGGGTATCCAGTGATACCTCATCAGAGGCAAGGAGGGAGTCATGGTTCCTCGTGACAATAGACAAACCTAGTGATTGGCCATTCGGGTATCCAGTGATACCTCATCAGAGAAGGGAGGGAGTCATGGTTCCTCGTGACAATAGACAAACCTAGTGATTGGCCATTCGGGTATCCAGTGATACCTCATCAGAGGCAAGGGAGGGAGTCACATGGTCGCTCATAGCTGGCAGTATCCCTGGAAGAGCAGGGTGGTGTGGGAGTTCAGGGAAGATGGGAATCTGTAGCAATGGAGATGGGCCATCAAGTGAAGCTGTTACTTTGCCCTGAATGTTTCACTTCCAGTAGAGGCTTTGATGTCACCAGTTCATACTGGAGATTGATGTGGGCCCTCACAGTATCTATGTCTGCCTTTTGCTTGCTCAACCAAACGTTTTCCATCAAACAATACAAAGCTCTGGTAGTGTGAAGGGACCATTCGCTACTATATTTCAGTTGAAAGTGGAACGAACTTCACCGCTCTTTGCTCTCTTGCTGGTGCCAACATCCTCATCCAGTCTTTCTTCTGGGTTCAGGTTCTTTGGCCAGCTTGATTGGCCGGCCTGGAATGATGGCCAGGAGTCCATTCCTTACGGCACAGAGACATGCGTACACTGAGCTGTGCATGCGCAGCACAGTGCACGTTCTAAAGAGGATTGTGAACAGGTGGGTAGGTTTGTTTTATTGCAGAGGGTCTCCAATGCAGAGCCTGCCTGCTCAGCAGTTCTGTGGTGGGATCAGTACAAATTGAGTTCCTATCTGGTTCTAAGGATGACTTCACTTTGTGGATTGCTCTGAACTTGTCTGGGTAAAATATATTCCATGTTCACTGAACATCTAAAGGCAGTCATTGGTATTTTCTGTCTCCTGTAGCAGTGATAGCGACAGTGAAGGTGAAAATCCAGAGAAGAAGAAACTCCAGGAGCAGCTGATGGGTAAGTGGAACCTTCTAGAGGAAATACATGAAGAGAAGTAGATGGGTTTGGTGGAGATTTGCCTTCATGTGAGAACTACGATGTGCCTCTTAAAGTGATACAAAACACACGAGCTTTAATTGCCATCATTCCTTCTATTTATGTATAAAGATCAGACCTCTGTATTTACTTCATATAACAAATCATTGGAGTTCGGAGGTCACATGACATTTCCAAGGTCTTCCCTGTCCTCGGGGAAAGTTCTGAGGGAGGTGTTTCTAGTCCTCTGCTGATGTATGAATTTTGTAAATTTAAAAACCAGCTCTTGCAATTATAATTGATTCTATTCTGCTGAGGGTCGCAGATTTGTTCCAGCTGCTGAGTTTATATATTTTATATACAGTTAGCTTGACTCTGGAGCGCTGGTATCTCTCTAATGAGGTTTGAATGCGCTGATTGGTGCTGTGCCAGTCACATGACATAAAAGATGTTTTCAGAATAGAGAATTAAAATAATAGCAGTAAATTGTTTTAACACTTTATACAAATCTATATTTCAAAGCAAATGTTTATTATTTTTTTGCTATAACATGGTGTAGGCAGAGTTTAAGTTGGTTGACAATAGCTTTCACTTTGTTCACACTGGAAAGAGAGCTGGCGGAGGTTCTGCCAATCACAGACTGTGTCACGCCCCTCCAGCCTGTGTCTATGGTGTACATGTGCTTGGACTAACAAGGAGGTGAAGCCTCCATCAATCACCATCTTATACTCCACCCTCACAGTGTTTAGCAATATGAGGACACGGAAGAGGAAGAATGGCATGGAGTGTCATTTACCACTGTATATGCCTCCATTTGTGACACTATAGTCATGTGGCTTGCACAGATAAGAAAAAGGAGGAATTGAGCAGCTTAGAAGGGAACTGAAACTGGAGCATGCTCAGTGGAGTTCAACAGCTAGTCTACACAATCTCAGGCTGCAGCGGGGATAAAGCCAAGGAGGGAGGAGCAGGAACATGACCACATCTGGGGAGACCAGCACAGCAGGAACATGACCACATCTGGGGAGGACCAGCACAGCAGGAACATGACCACATCTGGGGAGACCAGCACAGCAGGAACATGACCACATCTGGGGAGACCAGCACAGCAGGAACATGACCACATCTGGGGAGACCAGCACAGCAGGAACATGACCACATCTGGGGAGACCAGCACAGCAGGAACATGACCACATCTGGGGAGACCAGCAAAGCAGGAATATGACCACATCTGGGGAGACCAACAAAGCTGGAACATGACCACATCTGGGAGACCAACAAAGCTGGAACATGACCACATCTGAGGAGACCAACAAAGCTGGAACATGACCACATCTGAGGTGACCAACAAAGCTGGAACATGACCACATCTGAGGAGACCAACAAAGCTGGAACATGACCACATCTGAGGAGACCAACAAAGCTGGAACATGACCACATCTGAGGAGACCAACAAAGCTGGAACATGACCACATCTGGGGAGACCAACAGGCAGGAGCATGACCACATCTGGGGAGACCAACAGGCAGGAACATGACCATATCTGGGGAGACCAACAGGCAGGAACATGACCACATCTGAGGAGACCAACAAAGCTGGAACATGACCACATCTGAGGAGACCAACAAAGCTGGAACATGACCACATCTGAGGAGACCAACAAAGCTGGAATATGACCACATCTGGGGAGACCAACAGGCAGGAACATGACCACATCTGGGGAGACCAGCAGTTAAAGGTAGCAGTGCTTCAGATGATTTTGGCTGATTTACAGCTGTTAGGTGATAGAGCTCCTTGGCACAGTCACATGTCTGAAGGTGCATGACCACATCTGGGGAGACCAGCACAGCAGGAACATGACCACATCTGGGGAGACCAGCAGGCAGCTGGATTTTCAGGAGGAATTCAGGACAAAAGGTTTCAGGATGCAGCCAAGTCACAATTTATAGATGTTTCCTATCACACAGTCAATTGTTACTTTTCAAAGTTCACCTTAATGGCAGCCAGATGCTATGAAGGACAGTAGGGGGAAGGTAGGTGCTTCTCTTTGGTTCCTGTATTGCTGAAGAATTTATTGGATGCACCCAGTTACATCCTCCATTCTGCTATATTTTTTGCTGTTTTTTTTATTTTATTTTTTGTTTCATTTTTGTTTTTTTTCTACCTTTCCAGCCCAGAGACTCCTGGGATATCACCCTCCTACATCCCGGGAGTCTTTATTTTTTATTTCATGAGATTACAGTACAGTGAGAGGAGACGTTTTTACAGCATCAGCACGCCCTCCTGCCTGCATCTTGACGCTCTGGCTTCTCATTTGTTTACATGTTACCATAGAGTCACGTATGTTGCTGTTACTATGGCAATATTATTATTATACAGGATGTATATGGCGCCAACAGTTTGTGCAGCGCTGTACAAAATGAAGGCAGACAGTACAGTCACAATACAATTTGGTACGAGAGGAAACAGAGGGCCCTGATCCTGAGAGCTTACAATATGTAAAGAAAGTGGAAGTCCAGATCCAGTGTTCTGCACATGCGTGGGATTATCATGCTCGTCATCAGAGGGAGGACAGAATGGATTCACAAAAGTGAATACATAGCTAAATCATTCACCGTTACTAAAAATGGCCGCAAGGAGAGACATTCAGGGTTTGTTTAAAGGATACATTTGTACACAAAATCAACCCTGCAAAAATAAATCAGTGGGCGACTTTAAACTGGATATTAGAATTGATTTAAATGGTGATTTTTTTCTGACGAGCTCTGGAGGCAGCTCTGCCCTCTGTACATTCGGAGATTATCTATGGAAGTTTAGCAATGAGCCAAGGGACTGTACACAAGAAGGCAATGGATGTTTTGTGGCTCAGTGTCCTTAATACTTGTTAGAATATGGGGGTGTTGGCTACCTTTTCATCTTCATTTCGACAAGCGGGGACCACCAATCCAAGAGCACAGCTGACGGACGCTCTTCTGCACTCCGTGCCTGTATGAATATAGCCACAAAGAGAACCCGAGAGGATACAGATATTGCAGATGCAGTATCTACCTTGGTGTTTATAGGTGCTCAGTGTGGGGTGTCCTCATCTTGGCTTCACTTCTCAGCGAGTGACTGATCTGTAATAAGCATGTTGAATGGAGGTTGAGATTTTGCTAGCTGCATGCTTGTTTCTGGCCAGTGGCTCACTAGACCAGCCCAGGGACTGCACAGTGAAAACCAAAGCCAGCAGCAGTTCCAAAATTTCATTTGACCATCTGAATTCAGTAACTTTTCAGCCACTCACCGGGAACTTCTATATGGATCTGGTAAGAGAGCGAAAAGTCACCGTATCTGCATTCCTGTTCTGGTTTGTGACACAAATTATTGAAGACAGATGGCCTGGATGACAGCGAAGCATCTGACATTTAAAGAATGAGAAGCCAACAATGGTTGACGCCAAGGTTTAATATTACCAGCAAGATATCCAGGAGTGATATAGACATGGGATGAGAGAGAAGATAGAAAGGACCAGAAGGTGGTCAGACATCAGTGGGGGTTGGATGGAGAAATAACAGGAAAGAAAGTGAGGAATTGCATCTGGGGTCCAGAAAATACCTGGGGGGGGGGGGGGGGAAGACAGTCTATCATATGTAAATCTTCTATACATAAATTATAACTTGTAGCCAAAGATGTGAAAATAAAAACATGAAAGCATTTTGAAGGCCTGGTGTGATTTGCACAGCTATCAGTCCTTCCTGTTCATGTGACTTGGACCTTCCACTTCTCATGGTCGCTGTCCCTGTTCTGCTATAGGTGCCATCGTCATGGAGAAGCCAAATGTCCGGTGGAACGATGTGGCTGGATTGGAAGGCGCAAAGGAAGCTTTGAAGGAGGCTGTGATATTGCCTATTAAATTCCCCCATCTATTCACAGGTCAGTGTTTCCCCCATCTATTCACAGGTCAGTGTTTCCCCCATCTATTCACAGGTCAGTGTGTTTCCCCCATCTATTCACAGGTGTTTCCCCCATCTATTCACAGGTCAGTGTCTCCCCCATCTATTCACAGGTCAGTGTCTCCCCCATCTATTCACAGGTCAGTGTCTCCCCCATCTATTCACAGGTCAGTGTCTCCCCCATCTATTCACAGGTCAGTGTCTCCCCCATCTATTCACAGGTCAGTGTTTCCCCCATCTATTCACAGGTCAGTGTTTCCCCCATCTATTCACAGGTCAGTGTTTCCCCCATCTATTCACAGGTCAGTGTTTCCCCCCATCTATTCACAGGTCAGTGTCTTCCCCATCTATTCACAGGTCAGTGTCTTCCCCATCTATTCACAGGTCAGTGTTTCCCCCATCTATTCACAGGTCAGTGTTTCCCCCCATCTATTCACAGGTCAGTGTTTCCCCCATCTATTCACAGGTCAGTGTCTTCCCCATCTATTCACAGGTCAGTGTCTCCCCCATCTATTCACAGGTCAGTGTTTCCCCCATCTATTCACAGGTCAGTGTCTCCCCCCCATCTATTCACAGGTCAGTGTCTTCCCCATCTATTCACAGGTCAGTGTTTCCCCCATCTATTCACAGGTCAGTGTTTCCCCCATCTATTCACAGGCCAGTGTTTCCCCCATCTATTCACAGGTCAGTGTTTCCCCCATCTATTCACAGGTCGGTGTCTTCCCCATCTATTTACAGGTCAGTGTCTTCCCCATCTATTCACAGGTCAGTGTCTTCCCCATCTATTCACAGGTCAGTGTCTTCCCCATCTATTCACAGGTCAGTGTTTCCCCCATCTATTCACAGGTCAGTGTTTCCCCCATCTATTCACAGGTCAGTGTTTCCCCCATCTATTCACAGGTCAGTGTTTCCCCCATCTATTCACAGGTCAGTGTTTCCCCCATCTATTCACAGGTCAGTGTTTCCCCCATCTATTCACAGGTCAGTGTTTCCCCCATCTATTCACAGGTCAGTGTTTCCCCCATCTATTCACAGGTCAGTGTCTTCCCCATTATACTCAGATTTGGTAATGGGAACAAGTCTCTGTAATGGTGTTGTGATAGCAGACATTGAATTTGGCTGTAAATATACCCCTGAATGAGCAGGGTTATGGTATATTCCTCTCACGGACTATACTGGGATCATCCATGGAGTAACGACTCCTGGCTGGTCACGGTGTGCAGCGTTTATGAAATATGGGACCAGTACACCAGCAAGCTTGTTTCAGAGTGCAAAGATCTTTAATCCTCTATGATCCCATAGAAAAGCAGTGTATGTGCTCTGTGACCAAGCCCCGGGTGGGTGGGGCAAAATACGTAACAGGGTGTGGCCGGAGCGGCGACTGAGGCCATCCATCACATGCTGATATTCTTTGACTCCCGGGGATTGGTTTAAGTGGCGTCCGTCCTCATGTACTTTATCAAGTTTCTGGAGAAACGTGGGTCGCCGCTCCTTCTCTCTTTCTCTGTCTGCAGGGTGATCATTCTTCTCAATCAGCCTCAAGTGGCGCCAGAAGATTTCAAACGGCTTCCATAGAAAAGCAGCGTATCAGGACCATGCAGGCACCCTTCCCCATGCATGTGACGACTCAGGAAGGGTTCGAGATTAGATACTCTTTACTTCTGGTCAAATCTTATACAAATCAAGCAGCTGAACGCCTCACTATGGTCTAGACCACAATCTATGCAAAAGGAAAGGTGCAGCTTTATACCTTTATATAGGACATATGTGTCCTAATTCCCTATATCAAGTCATAAACATTTGTGGAAAGGAAACATTCAAAACTATTATTATAATACAGGATATATATCGCCAACAGTTTGGCAGCACTTTACAATATAAAGGGGGGCGGTACAATTACAATGCAGTTCAATACAGAAGGAATAGGAGGGAACGTCATTAATAAAGTAGTAGTGCTCCGCCATCTTGGAGAAACGCACAGGGAGATAGTAGGAGGAGCGTTGTTTTTTTTCTATCTGTGCAATAATTGGGCCGGGACTGAATCATTCATTTAATAAAGAAGTACTCTGCTATGTGCGGATCTTTTTGATGTTTTTATGGTTGTTTGGAAACAACTGGAGAGTGGTACTAATGTTGAACTGAAGGAAAAGGAGGATGAGGTGTGGAATTGGAGGCTCAAAGTAAAGCACATCAAGACCTTCTTATTCATTTAAGGGGTCACAAGATTTGGGGAGTGTTGAGCACTGGGGAAGTGGAGCGGCACTGTGGAAATCACTGGAGTGTTGAAGCAAGACGCATTCACAGGAGTGATAATCTGCACTGTTAGGACAGTATGGAATCTTCTGCTGGATTGAGGACAGAGGAGCACCAAGATAATTATATGGAGGCACTATATTGACTTTGTTTCTATTGTTTCCTGTCCACAAATGTTTACGATTTGATACAGAGTAATTCAGGCACATATTGGGTAATGTAAGGTCTTAAAGGTATAGTGCTGCACTTTTTCTTTTGCATATACGGAGGAAGGGGCCCTGCATGGTCCTGAAATACTGCTTTTCCTTTGTGATCATACAAGAATAAAGAGTCTGCACTTTGAAACAAGCTTGTCAGTGTTTTGGCAACATATATTTCATCCTAAATGACCAGGATGTCCCCATGTAAAGGGAGGGCACTTTATACTCAGAATCCAGTCTTTGTGAATCCCTCCCCCACCCCTTTCCATAAAACATTGCTGCATTTTGTAGAGTCTACACTGTCATGTTTCCAGGGCTGTCTGCCTGACGGTTTGGACAGACAAGGCTGCATATACTTTTACAATCAGCCTGTGTACAGCTGGGACTTGTAGGAAGGTGCTCCAGTCTCACCATTTATTGCACGAAAGGACCACCAACACCATGAGCTCCAGTCTTTAAAACGGAGCATACATCATGTAATCAGTCTCTGGAGGTGCATTCGTTTTCTATAGATGGCAGATATTTGAGAATTTCCTTACCATTATTTGGCTGACTAGTGACAGGTTCAGTTTCATAAAACCTGAGAAGAGGAAAATGCTGCCTGAGGTTTCCTCCAGTTGGATTCCAGTTGTCATTTCTATAGCACAGAATACAAAGTACACCTGACATGCAAATGCCAATACCAAGCCAATGGATCATCAGTAAAGCAAAGAAAGGATGACTGCTGGGGGGCTTGACAAGTCAGCCAGAGAAGCTTCCATGCCTTCTTATAACTGTGAATAATGAACAAATCCTTCATGACTTGCTAAAGCTGAACAGGCACTAGAAGGAGTTTAATATCCACGAGACTGTAGTGTGTATTCACTTTGTTGTAGGAGGAAGGGCTTTAGTCCCCAAGTTTAAAGAAGTTTCATCTGCGTAGCAAATTTAAATTATCCTCATATGGGCACCCAAGAAACTCTTAGATAAGGACGTTAATAGCACCTTGTGGGACTTGCTGTTAGGTAGCACATGTAACTGTTTTGTCTAGGTGACAGGTTCACTTTAAATCAGCAACTTCCTCCAGGAGCTGTCATGCGTTGTCATCATGGGACATTTGTATTCTGTTTCACGTTCCCCCATTCTTCTCTCCAGGAAAGCGTACTCCCTGGCGTGGAATCTTGCTGTTTGGACCCCCAGGAACAGGAAAATCTTACCTGGCCAAAGCTGTAGCAACCGAAGCCAATAACTCTACCTTCTTCTCAGTGTCCTCCTCTGACCTGATGTCTAAGTGGCTTGGAGAAAGTGAGAAGTAAGTGGTTGTGTGGATTACAGGACACTTCCACCCAAGACCCACCAACTACTGTATATGTCTTTCATCTTAATATTCTAAAAGATTTTGGGGGTTTTTTGACTTGTCAGCTACCTACAGCTCTGACATGCAAGAGGCTTACAGTCTAAAGCTGGCCATATACTGTACAATTTGATATGGATCAGGGATTTTACCCATTCAAAGAGCTGGAAGCCCAATGTTATAATACAAAAAAGAGGAATATGCCTTTCAAAGCAATAATAGTGAAATAATATTACAAATAACAAAATAAAAAAACCTACCTAAATATAGATTAATACATAACGTTACCCAAACAGTAAAAGGGAAGAAGGAGACCCCATTGGGGTATCAGGCTAAGGGGTACTGACATTAGTCACATGTGGGGACATTCTTTTTTGGTGACCTTCTGTATTAATCTAAGTTTGGGAACCAATTCTAAGTCATGTGAGCCTCCTTGTAACAGGTGATGCATATATGTGGAGTGGTCCCGAGTATATATAGAGAGAGAATAACATTTGTATTTACAAGGTCATGCTGTTACTTATGTTGCCTTTGTTTGTAACTTTAGAAATAGATTCCAGATCTCCCTGAGGAAGCGGGCTTGTCGTGCGAAACGCGTTGGAAATAACTATATGAAATCTTAGGGATCAATTTGGAATGTGATTGTCAACTGTTGGCATAATATATCACTGTCTTTGTTTTTCACAGTACCTCAATGTTTGTTATTACAAATTCTTTACAATGTTGTATAATAATAATGTAAGCTTTTTTATATACATGGTGTGGTACCTTTAAAATCCTAATAGTATTTTTTTTATATGCTAGGGATTGGGTCTATATTTCAGGATCACTGTGACAGCCAATTACGGTGATCACATGATCAGTAAGACCACCTCTGTCTCAGGGCACTAAGAAATCGTTAAAAGGGTCGGCAGGCGCCAGAGCAAGGGGTTAATAAAGCACCTAAATGGATTCTTGATGTTTGATGTGGAAATAATTGTGTAATCTTCCTGTGTATTACAGGCTGGTAAAGAACCTGTTTGAATTAGCGCGACAGCACAAGCCTTCCATCATTTTCATCGATGAGGTTGATTCCCTCTGTGGCTCTCGGAATGAGAATGAAAGTGAAGCTGCCCGCAGAATCAAGACAGAGTTCCTGGTGCAGATGCAAGGTACAGTGCTCTTCCTTAACCTGACAGCCACACCCCGTTCCTCATCGTCACACACCGGTGCATCCTTCCAGTAGATGTAAATCCAAATGGATGAAATGTATTCTACTAAAGCACTGCCATAAACAACGGCAATATAATTTTCTTTTTTAAAATACCTTTTCACATTTCATTGCTGCTGATCTCATCCAACCTCTTTGCAGTGACTTCTTGTCTACATGCACTTGCTTCAGTGTCAGTTACATGCCATTGCTGAGGGCAGTTTTTGTGATGGCAGTTGGGAGACAGGAACTACGCACTTGTCACCCTATAACTGGAAGTGTCTTCATTTATTGAAAGTTTTAATGTAAACAGATTGAAGATTATTTATAAAATGTCATAAATATGTTAAAGATCAGATAGAGATTTAATGGTTGAGTTTATTTTCATTATGTTAGTGTTTGCCAAAGCTTGGGTTACAATCAGCAGATCCAGTGACTTGGGTTCCACATAACACAATGACCCCTTTCTTCTCCTAGGTGTTGGCAATAACAATGATGGGATCCTGGTTCTGGGAGCTACAAACATACCCTGGGTGCTGGACTCCGCCATCCGAAGAAGGTGAGATTCGGGATTTCAAGAAACTTGATATTTTTACTAGCGTGGTGTGGAAAGCCAAACTCTACAAACGTGTTTTGTTTTTTGATGAGAGGAAGGGTTAGTACTTGTCAAAGTTTTTATTGCTGTCTGTGTCCCCGCTGGGGAGTCCTCACTTTGGGTCCCAATATCCGGGTGTCACTGGCAGAGGAAGTCATGGGAAATGCCTCCACTTGTTTTTTCAGTTGGGTGGGGTAGGATTATAACCTCTGTTGCTATATTCATGTTCCTGCCCATCTGCTGCTGTCTGTCTTCCTGTGTAAAAGCAGTGGTCTCACAGCAGAGGTCTGACATACCCTCCGCTGAGGCAGAGCTAGAGTTCCCTGGTCAGGACGGAGTAGAGATGTGCTGGGGTGTCCGCCAAATCCATCTCTATCATGATTATTATTTTTTTTTTACTCGTCAGCTATGGGCCAGGTCATTCCTGTCTGCAGCACATGTAAACAAAGGGGAGATGTTGGTGACATCACAGCCATTATATGAACACGTACATTTTGTCAAATATATGCATGTGTCCATATAAAGGGCAGTGATGTCACCAGGATCCCGCCCCTTTGTTTACATGTGGTTAATTGGAGTAAATATATATATATATCTACTTGATGTTTGGACAGGATGAGTTCAGAGGACGCCTGAGCTCATTTCCAGACAATGAACTGAGTGTATAGCTATAGGCGTGTTTCCGATCCTTTAGCCAATTTAAACTGAAAGTTTAATTGAGTTAAAAGGGATTCCATTTCTACTGGAAAAAATCAGCTGCACATATAAAGTGAAGGCACCGAGAGGTTCTGCATGTACCTGCAGAGGATACAAAAGCCTACAGATACAGAGGAGCACCAGGCCAATCCTCATAGTGTCAATGGTTGTCCATTTCTGTCTCCTGCACATTCCTATTGGCCAGTGTCCTGGCCCATCACAGTAATGGGCCAGTAGAAATGTGTGGGGGGTGTAGCAGCCATCCCTGCAGTACCCAGAAGTACCACATTTGTAATGGCTGCCACACTGCTTTTAGGTTTTCTAGCTGCCTTCACTTTATATCTGCAGCAGTTAGTTTTTGTTGTCACAAAGACAATTCAACAAACAGCAAAGTGATCTGCCTGCGGTCATACTGGCGCTTTAAAGTGGAGAAAAGCCTGAGTCTAACTATTCCTAAAAATGTTCCCTCCCCCCTCTTCCTATCAGTTCTGTCTGACCGGCATACAAAGATTTGTGTACTTACCTATAATTAAGCTTCAGTCATGTGATCTGCAGCTCAGGCGCTCTCAACAACGGCTGTGAATTGCATGAGTGGTAACTTCACCCATAGGCCCCACAGCCCAGCCTTTGTCGGCACGATCTCCTCTCCCCTGCAGCAGCTGCTTACTTACACAGGGGACTGGAGCTACTGGATCACATGACTGGACTGGATTAGATGGGGGGGGGGGACATTAGGATAGTTTGATTTAGGGTTTTCTTCTACTTTACTAAAGAGTGGTGCGCTGTATTCCAGCGTTTGCAGCTTTTAATAGGTTGTTCCTTTTTATGTTTTTCTTTAGACTTTTGTCTGTAGATAATATTCTATTCTTGTTCTCAGGTTTGAGAAGCGGATATACATCCCACTACCAGAGGAAGCTGCCAGAGCTCAGATGTTCCGTCTGCACCTAGGGAACACCCCCCACAGCCTAAGTGATGCCAATATTCGGGAGTTGGCCCAGAAAACAGATGGCTATTCGGGTGCAGATATCAGCATCATCGTGCGCGACGCGTTAATGCAACCAGTGCGCAAAGTGCAATCAGCCACACATTTTAAAACGGTAGAGAACCAAAAAGCTGATGTGTGTTAGGATAGCTGTGAATTATAATCAGTGTGATGGATGTTCTGATTGGTTGTTCTTCTGTATGTGTCAGGTACGAGGTCCTTCTCGCACTAACCCCGGTGTCATAGTGGATGACCTGCTAACACCGTGTTCCCCTGGGGACCCCGGAGCCGTTGAGATGACTTGGATGGAGGTGCAGGGGGATAAACTGCAGGAGCCTGTAGTCTGCATGGTAAGACCTGTTGTATGAACTGCTGACTAAAGAACAGTCTGTGCTTTTCTTCCAACTGTCATTGGGGTGAAATAGAAAAGGAAAGGAAAAAACGGCCATTGAGGTCTCTTTTCCAGTAGATCCTCCATACACTGTCACACGTGTCAGCTTCATCCACCAATCATGGGCGTAAGTTCTATGACACGCTGTCCAATGGATCATGCACATACATGAGCCTAATGCACTGAAGGGTAGCAGAAAGATATGAAGACACTAATCGGTTCCTTCAGGGATGATTTGTTCCTGAATTCCACCTTTTGGACCTTGTTCCATGTTACATCCATATTTAGGGTGTAACATGGTGCAAATTCTAAATCTGAACAGATGTGAAGCTGAAGGAATGCTCTCTAGTAGCCTGTGCACTGCACCCGTGATTCGCTGTTCTTGGTTGCAGCGCTTCGCAGGGTCCAATGCAAAAAAATAATAGATGCAGATATTTTTCTTGCAGCGGGTAAAATAAGTGTTGAACTTGTCACAATTTTTCTTAGTAAATATATTTTTTAAAGGTGCTTTTGACATGAAATTTTCACCACGTGTCGGTAACAACTCATGCAATCCATACATACAAAGAAACCAAAACAATTACGTTCAGAAATTAAGTTGTTTAATAAAATGGAATGACACAGGGAAAAAGTATTGAGTACACGAAGAAAGGGAGGTGCAAAAGGGTATGGAAAGCCAAGACACCAATTGAAATCTGTCAATAATTAGAAAGCAGTCCTGCCCCTTGTCAGTGCAAACTAATATCAGCTGGTTCAGACTCAACTGATAGCCTATAAAAAGGTGTCTCATTACCAAGGTGTCGCACAAGAAACATCTCATGATGGGTAAAAGCAAAGAGTTCTTAAGACCTTCGCAACCATGTTGTTGCAAAACATACTGATGGCATTGGTTACAGAAGGATTTCTAAACTTCTATATGTGTTCCAGTGAGCACTGTTGGGGCCATAATCCAGAAATTGAAATAACATAATTTACCATAAACCAGCCACAACCAGGTGCTCCTTGCAGGATTGCTGACAGAGGAGTGAAAAGAATTATCAGAAGAGTTGTCCAAGAGCCAAGGACCACTTGTGGAGAGCTTCAGAAAAACCTGAATTAGCAGGTACAATAAGTAATGCACTCAGCCACCATGGCCTGTATGCACGTCATCACGCAAGACTCTATTGCTGAAGAAAAAGCATGTTGAAGCTTGATTAACGTTTGCTGCACAACATTTAGACAAGCTTATGAAATACAGGAGAATGTAGTCTGGTCAGATGAGACCAAAATGGAACTCTGGATGCCATAATACACACCATGTTTGGAGGTCACATGCCACTGCACATCACCCCAAAAACACCAGACCAACAATGAAGCATGGCGATGGGAACATCATGGTGTGGAGCTGCTTATCAGCATACGATACTGGCAAACTTCATGTCATTGAAGGAAGGATGGATGGAAAAATGGACCAAGACATTGTTGATAAAAACCTGCTGCCATCTACCAGGATGATGAAGATGAAGCGAGGACGGACATTCCAGCAAGACAACGATCCCAAACAAAGCCGAGGAAACTCTCCATTGGTTTCAAAGAAAGAAAATAAAGCTGCTAGAATGGCCCAGCCAATCATCTGACTTGAATCCAATAGAAAACCAATGGAAAGAACTAAAGATCCGAGCTCATAGCAGAGGCCCACGGAACCTTCCAGATGTGGAAGACTGAGCCAAAATCCCACCTGAGCGATGCATGTGACTTGTTCCTCCATGCAGGAGGCGTCCGGAAGCATCATCACCAACAAAGGATTTTGTACCAAGTATGAAATACATTTCAGTTAGCGTGTTCAATACTTTTTCCCCGGTGTCATTCCATTTTATTACACAGAACTTCAGTTCTGAACTTGTTTTGGTGTCTTTGTATGTATAGATGGCATGGGTTGTCACCTGTGTGTATGGATGGCACGGGTTGTCACCTGTGTGTATGGATGGCACGGGTTGTCACCTGTGTGTATGGATGGCACGGGTTGTCACCTGTGTGTGTGGATGGCACGGGTCGTCACCTGTGTGTGTGGCTGGCACGGGTCGTCACCTGTGTGTGTGGATGGCACGGGTCGTCACCTGTGTGTGTGGATGGCACGGGTCGTCACACTGTGTGTGTGGATGGCACGGGTCGTCACCTGTGTGTGGATGGCACGGGTCGTCACCTGTGTGTGGATGGCAGGGATTGTCACCTGTGTGCGTGGATGGCAGGGGTTGTCACCTGTGTGCCTGGATGGCACGGGTTGTCACCTGTGTGCCTGGATGGCAGGGGTTGTCACCTGTATGCCTGGATGGCACATGTCACCTGTATGCCTGGATGGCAGGGGTTGTCACCTGTATGCCTGGATGGCAGGGGTTGTCACCTGTATGCCTGGATGGCACGGGTTGTCACCTGTGTGTATGGATGGCACGGGTTGTCACCTGTGTGTGTGGCTGGCACGGGTCGTCACCTGTGTGTGTGGCTGGCACAGGTCGTCACCTGTGTGTGTGGATGGCACGGGTCGTCAGCTGTGTGTGGATGGCACGGGTCGTCAGCTGTGTGTGGATGGCACGGGTCGTCAGCTGTGTGTGGATGGCAGGGATTGTCACCTGTGTGCGTGGATGGCAGGGTTGTCACCTGTGTGCCTGGATGGCACGGGTTGTCACCTGTGTGCCTGGATGGCAGGGGTTGTCACCTGTATGCCTGGATGGCACATGTCACCTGTGTGGGTGGATGGCAGGGGTTGTCACCTGTATGCCTGGATGGCAGGGGTTGTCACCTGTATGCCTGGATGGCACGGGTTGTCACCTGTGTGGGTGGATGGCAGGGGTTGTCACCTGTGTGTATGGATGGCACGGGTTGTCACCTGTGTGTATGGATGGCACGGGTTGTCACCTGTGTGTGTGGATGGCACGGGTCGTCACCTGTGTGGGTGGATGGCAGGGGTTGTCACCTGTGTGCATGGATGGCACGGGTTGTCACCTGTGTGTGTGGATGGCACGGGTTGTCACCTGTGTGTGTGGATGGTAGGGGTTGTCACCTGTGTGCCTGGATGGCAGGGGTTGTCACCTGTATGCCTGGATGGCACATGTCACCTGTATGCCTGGATGGCAGGGGTTGTCACCTGTATGCCTGGATGGCACATGTCACCTGTGTGGGTGGATGGCAGGGGTTGTCACCTGTGTGTGGATGGCACGGGTCGTCAGCTGTGTGTGGATGGCAGGGATTGTCACCTGTGTGCGTGGATGGCAGGGGTTGTCACCTGTGTGCCTGGATGGCACGGGTTGTCACCTGTGTGCCTGGATGGCAGGGGTTGTCACCTGTATGCCTGGATGGCACATGTCACCTGTATGCCTGGATGGCAGGGGTTGTCACCTGTATGCCTGGATGGCACATGTCACCTGTGTGGGTGGATGGCAGGGGTTGTCACCTGTGTGTGTGGATGGCAGGGGTTGTCACCTGTATGCCTGGATGGCAGGGGTTGTCACCTGTATGCCTGGATGGCACGGGTTGTCACCTGTGTGTATGGATGGCACGGGTTGTCACCTGTGTGTGTGGCTGGCACGGGTCGTCACCTGTGTGTGTGGATGGCACGGGTCGTCAGCTGTGTGTGGATGGCACGGGTCGTCAGCTGTGTGTGGATGGCACGGGTCGTCAGCTGTGTGTGGATGGCAGGGATTGTCACCTGTGTGCGTGGATGGCAGGGGTTGTCACCTGTGTGCCTGGATGGCACGGGTTGTCACCTGTGTGCCTGGATGGCAGGGGTTGTCACCTGTATGCCTGGATGGCACATGTCACCTGTGTGGGTGGATGGCAGGGGTTGTCACCTGTATGCCTGGATGGCAGGGGTTGTCACCTGTATGCCTGGATGGCACGGGTTGTCACCTGTGTGGGTGGATGGCAGGGGTTGTCACCTGTGTGTATGGATGGCACGGGTTGTCACCTGTGTGTATGGATGGCACGGGTTGTCACCTGTGTGTGTGGATGGCACGGGTCGTCACCTGTGTGGGTGGATGGCAGGGGTTGTCACCTGTGTGCATGGATGGCACGGGTTGTCACCTGTGTGCGTGGATGGCACGGGTTGTCACCTGTGTGTGTGGATGGTAGGGGTTGTCACCTGTGTGCCTGGATGGCAGGGGTTGTCACCTGTATGCCTGGATGGCACATGTCACCTGTATGCCTGGATGGCAGGGGTTGTCACCTGTATGCCTGGATGGCACATGTCACCTGTGTGGGTGGATGGCAGGGGTTGTCACCTGTGTGTGGATGGCACGGGTCGTCAGCTGTGTGTGGATGGCAGGGATTGTCACCTGTGTGCGTGGATGGCAGGGGTTGTCACCTGTGTGCCTGGATGGCACGGGTTGTCACCTGTGTGCCTGGATGGCAGGGGGGTTGTCACCTGTATGCCTGGATGGCACATGTCACCTGTATGCCTGGATGGCAGGGGTTGTCACCTGTATGCCTGGATGGCACATGTCACCTGTGTGGGTGGATGGCAGGGGTTGTCACCTGTGTGTGTGGATGGCAGGGGTTGTCACCTGTATGCCTGGATGGCAGGGGTTGTCACCTGTATGCCTGGATGGCACGGGTTGTCACCTGTGTGTATGGATGGCACGGGTTGTCACCTGTGTGTGTGTGGATGGCACGGGTCGTCAGCTGTGTGTGGATGGCACGGGTCGTCAGCTGTGTGTGGATGGCACGGGTCGTCAGCTGTGTGTGGATGGCAGGGATTGTCACCTGTGTGCGTGGATGGCACGGGTTGTCACCTGTGTGCCTGGATGGCACGGGTTGTCACCTGTGTGCCTGGATGGCAGGGGTTGTCACCTGTATGCCTGGATGGCACATGTCACCTGTGGGGGTGGATGGCAGGGGTTGTCACCTGTATGCCTGGATGGCAGGGGTTGTCACCTGTATGCCTGGATGGCACGGGTTGTCACCTGTGTGGGTGGATGGCAGGGGTTGTCACCTGTGTGTATGGATGGCACGGGTTGTCACCTGTGTGTGTGGATGGCACGGGTCGTCACCTGTGTGGGTGGATGGCAGGGGTTGTCACCTGTGTGCATGGATGGCACGGGTTGTCACCTGTGTGTGTGGATGGCACGGGTTGTCACCTGTGTGTGTGGATGGTAGGGGTTGTCACCTGTGTGCCTGGATGGCAGGGGTTGTCACCTGTATGCCTGGATGGCACATGTCACCTGTATGCCTGGATGGCAGGGGTTGTCACCTGTATGCCTGGATGGCACATGTCACCTGTGTGGGTGGATGGCAGGGGTTGTCACCTGTATGCCTGGATGGCAGGGGTTGTCACCTGTATGCCTGGATGGCAGGGGTTGTCACCTGTATGCCTGGATGGCACGGGTTGTCACCTGTGTGGGTGGATGGCAGGGGTTGTCACCTGTGTGTATGGATGGCACGGGTTGTCACCTGTGTGTATGGATGGCACGGGTTGTCACCTGTGTGTGTGGATGGCACGGGTCGTCACCTGTGTGGGTGGATGGCAGGGGTTGTCACCTGTGTGCATGGATGGCACGGGTTGTCACCTGTGTGTGTGGATGGCACGGGTTGTCACCTGTGTGTGTGGATGGTAGGGGTTGTCACCTGTATGCCTGGATGGCACGGGTTGTCACCTGTGTGTGTGGATGGCACGGGTTGTCACCTGTGTGCCTGGATGGCATGGGTTGTCACCTGTGTGTGTGGATGGCACGGGTTGTCACCTGTGTGTGTGGATGGCACGGGTTGTCACCTGTGTGTGTGGATGGCACGGGTTGTCACCTGTGTGTGTGGATGGTAGGGGTTGTCACCTGTGTGTGTGGACGGCACGGGTTGTCACCTGTGTGCCTGGATGGCACGGGTTGTCACCTGTGTGCCTGGATGGCACGGGTTGTCACCTGTATGCCTGGATGGCACATGTCACCTGTATGCCTGGATGGCAGGGGTTGTCACCTGTATGCCTGGATGGCACATGTCACCTGTGTGGGTGGATGGCAGGGGTTGTCACCTGTATGCCTGGATGGCAGGGGTTGTCACCTGTATGCCTGGATGGCAGGGGTTGTCACCTGTATGCCTGGATGGCACGGGTTGTCACCTGTGTGGGTGGATGGCACGGGTTGTCACCTGTGTGCGTGGATGGCAGGGGTTGTCACCTGTGTGCCTGGATGGCACGGGTTGTCACCTGTGTGCCTGGATGGCAGGGGTTGTCACCTGTATGCCTGGATGGCACATGTCACCTGTATGCCTGGATGGCACATGTCACCTGTGTGGGTGGATGGCAGGGGTTGTCACCTGTATGCCTGGATGGCAGGGGTTGTCACCTGTATGCCTGGATGGCAGGGGTTGTCACCTGTATGCCTGGATGGCACGGGTTGTCACCTGTGTGGGTGGATGGCAGGGGTTGTCACCTGTGTGTATGGATGGCACGGGTTGTCACCTGTGTGTATGGATGGCACGGGTTGTCACCTGTGTGTGTGGATGGCAGGGGTTGTCACCTGTGTGTGTGGATGGCACGGGTCGTCACCTGTGTGGGTGGATGGCAGGGGTTGTCACCTGTGTGCATGGATGGCACGGGTTGTCACCTGTGTGTGTGGATGGTAGGGGTTGTCACCTGTGTGTGTGGATGGTAGGGGTTGTCACCTGTGTGCATGGATGGCACGGGTTGTCACCTGTGTGTGTGGATGGCACGGGTTGTCACCTGTGTGTGTGGATGGTAGGGGTTGTCACCTGTATGCCTGGATGGCACGGGTTGTCACCTGTGTGTGTGGATGGCACGGGTTGTCACCTGTGTGCCTGGATGGCAGGGGTTGTCACCTGTGTGTATGGATGGCACGGGTTGTCACCTGTGTGGGTGGATGGCAGGGGTTGTCACCTGTGTGTGTGGATGGCACGGGTCGTCACCTGTGTGGGTGGATGGCAGGGGTTGTCACCTGTGTGCATGGATGGCACGGGTTGTCACCTGTGTGTGTGGATGGTAGGGGTTGTCACCTGTGTGTGTGGATGGTAGGGGGGTTGTCACCTGTGTGCATGGATGGCACGGGTTGTCACCTGTGTGCGTGGATGGCACGGGTTGTCACCTGTGTGTGTGGATGGTAGGGGTTGTCACCTGTATGCCTGGATGGCACGGGTTGTCACCTGTGTGTGTGGATGGCACGGGTTGTCACCTGTGTGTGTGGATGGCACGGGTTGTCACTTGTATGCCTGGATGGCACGGGTTGTCACCTGTGTGTGTGGATGGTAGGGGTTGTCACCTGTGTGTGTGGACGGCACGGGTTGTCACCGATGTGGGGAACTTTTCATGTCATTGGCACCTTTAGGCTTCGTTCACACTATCTTTGAAAGCAGGCATTTGTGGGGTGTTTTTTAACGCTCCTCAGACACCCATGGAAATGATACTAAGGGCAGCTCACAGTGTGGTTCACATTCGCAAAACATGAAGCGTTAGCGTCTCTTCGCTTCAAAATTGAAGCCTCATGTTGAGTCGGGAGGAGTTGAAGCCTTTCATCGCCTCCCATTCAAGTCTATGGTGACGCTTCTCAAACGTCTGGCAGGCTTTGCGTTGTGTTTGTGAGGCATTTGCGGGGCGTTTGTGAGGCGTTTGCGGGGCGTTTGTGAGGCGTTTGCGTTGCGTTTGTGGGGGGTTTGTGAGGCGTTTGCGGGGCGTTTGTGAGGCGTTTTCGTGGCGTTTGCGGGGCGTTTGTGAGGCGTTTGCGGGGCGTTTGTGAGGCGTTTGCGAGGCGTTTGCGGGGCGTTTGCGAGGCGTTTGCGAGGCGTTTGTGAGGCGTTTGCGGGGCATTTGCGGGGCGTTTGTGAGGCGTTTATACCATTAGAGTTTATTGGCGTTTGTAGTGCGGATTTAGCGCATGTAAAATGCCTATAAAGCGCCTCAAATCTGCGCAGAGGGATCCCAGCAAAGTGCGGGACTTCTTCCCTCGTGTCCCGGCAGAGGACTCCATTCACATGACTGGGCTCTAGTACCCGCACAAGACGCAGCTCGCGTGGCTCCATATATGTGAGCCGGGGGGTAACGCTATAGAGGTGTTTTTGAAGAGTTAGAAGTTTCGTCAAGTGTGAACGTAGCCTTAGAATTATATTTACCGAGGAAAATGGCGACGTGTTCAGTACTTGTACCCGCTTGTCGGTGCGATTCTTATTGATTTACAATCGTTGGATTACGCCTTTGAATCTGCCGATCGCTGTTTGTAGGCCTGTAATGCTGTGCTCTCAGGTGAGGGTGACAACATCCCTCACCACCATCACTGTACGGGACACGAACGCCCTACAGCCGCAGCACATTGATGCCAGGATAATGTGTGGAATTTATTGGTGCAGAATTTGGGGCCAGATGAAAGAATACAGATTGCGATTCGGATCGCCTAACGCACTTCTGTTTTCCCTCTCAGTCCGATATGCTGCGATCTCTGGCTACGACCCGGCCCACCGTCAATGCTGAGGACCTGCTAAAAGTGAAGAAATTTACAGAAGACTTTGGGCAGGAAGGATGAACCCCGGAGGGAACCAGGAGGGAAGGGGGCATCATGTTTGCTTGCTTGTCTCTAAGTGCCCCAACCGGTAACATGGCAGGAAGGCTCCGGCCACCCTCTCCCGTATCCAGGACTCCTCGTGTCCCCTCTGGCCCCGCACTGCCTGGGAGGTTCCACTCACCTTCAACAAGCTTCTGTCTGAGGTTTACATTCATTTGCCATCAGTCACCAAATCTCCATGTGACTGCCTTCCCTTCCCCTAACAGCCTACAGGGGGAGCCCTCCCTTCCTGCCTGACTTCTAATTGACTGTAATGCCCCGATCCCTTCCTAGACCCCCCGGGGGCATCAACAGGGGGGGGCTCCGATGTCTCCATACCCACCAGTGTCCATATTCTTCCCCCACTCCCTGCCAGTACTGCAGATGAGTGTTCAGCTGTGTAAATATATCCTCTTTCAGTTCATCTTTTGTCTTCTCGTTCTTCTTCAGTGGAATTCGCACGACGCGTCTTCTGGGGCCACATCCAGGACTGCCGATTGAAGCTGCACTCAGACGTGTCCAGTAAAAATGTCTTGTTTGTAAAGCTGAGGTTTAGGCAAAGCATATTTCCCTACAGATTTACTTCCATGACTTACCTGTAAGGAGGTAAGTCCTACCAAGTGCAGACTGCTGGAGAAATCCTCACTGCTGGGCTGCCCCGTCCTCTTCCTGCGGCAGAACCTCCAGCACTGTGGGGGTTAACAGCTTCAGATCTCTGGGCTTGGCTGATCTAAAGATGGTCTAATAGGGACACGCCCCCTCCTGCCCTCTCCTCCAATGAGAAATGTTTCTTCACTGATTATACTGCCAGTAACGTAATCTGTGAATGGAGAATCTCAGACACTCATCCATTCACAGATCATGTTACAGGCAGTGGAATCGGTGAGAAAACATTTCTCATTGGAGGAGCAGGCAGGAAGGGGCGTGTCCAGTCAGATCTGAAACCCCCATAGAGCAGTAAATTCTGTAGCAGGAAGAGGACAGGGCAGCCTTGCAGTGAAGATTTCTCCAGCAGTCTGCACATTGTAGGACATACCTTATTACGGGTAAGTCGTGGAACTAAAGCTGTATCTCTAAATGCAAGTAGAGTAAGTAGCTGAATTGATGTTGGTTGCAGCCGGCTGCGGTCTCTGTACAGCAGTGCTCAGGGAGGGATGAATTGCACCCAGAGCCAGTCTGTGGAGTGATGAGTCTGCTGCTTCTCCATTCACTGTCCAGTCACAGACAGCAGGAGGGACATGACCTGTAAGTGGTAACTACAGCAGAGTAACATGCTGTGTGACAGAGCTGTGTAAATCCTAGGACTGGATGGACAGAAATCCTTTGGCAGGAAAGCAGTTCCTATATATGTATTCTCTGTATTGTTCTGTTTGCCTGGAGTTCCATTTGGTGACTAGAAAAGCCGGAACACTTGTAAGTTCATGATTGTTCGCCATGTGGAGTTGTGAAAGCGTACACTGACCCCCAGTGACCAGGCCCCCATAGTGCGTGCACTGACCCCCAGTGACCAGGCCCCCATAGTGCGTACACTGACCCCCAGTGACCAGGCCCCCATGCGTAGTGCGTACACTGACCCCCAGTGACCAGGCCCCCAGAGTGCGTACACTGACCCCCAGTGACCAGGCCCCCATAGTGCGTACACTGACCCCCAGTGACCAGGCCCCCAGTGCGTGCACTGTACCCCACTGACCCCCCCAGTGTGCGTACACTGACCCCCAGTGACCAGGCCCCCATAGTGCGTACACTGACCCCCAGTGACCAGGCCCCCATAGTGCGTACACTGACCCCCAGTGACCAGTGACCCCCCAGTGACCAGGCCCCCAGAGTGCGTACACTGACCCCCAGTGACCAG